TTCCCAAAGAAGATTAACATCGGTGGTCGCAACTTCGAAGCTTCTCGTACCGAAATTATTCCATATATGCAATTGTTTTCGAGGGAAAATTGAGAATTAAATTTAAAAAAATCGAGAACCGAGAAATATTCGTACTTGGAATTTACTCATGCAGAGAGTGTTTGTCCTTCCACGTTGTAAATTATTATCCTCATTGTAGATTATTATAGTACTCAGAAATATATTTTTTAACGCACCTACGCATTCCCAGAAAATCGTGATATATTTCTTTTAACACGCGTTTGTCTCATTCGCATTCAGGATGAATATTTAGATCATCTATGATCCAAGCTTGCTCACCGAATACCGTATCGATGAAATGACATCTGATTCTACGATGTTGCAACGAAGCAGAAATAATAGGTGACCAAGGTTTGCGATATTATAATAACATAACAATTCCTTCCATTATTACACTCCCTTGTAATACCACTTACGTATCAAATAGGAGTTCCACGTATCGAATTAAAATAATAAAAGCCAACCATTTGATCAAAAATTCCAGGTTTCGAGTGCTCAGTGTTTGTTATCCGATATAAACGACTGAGAGGAGAATTTACTCATTTCTTTCTCATACTAACATATCAATTCCTTCGATTATTACACTCCCTTGTAATACCACTTACGTATCAAACAGGAATTCCACGTATCGAATTATAATAATAAAAGCCAATCATTTGATCAAAAATTCCAGGTTTCGAGTGCTCAGTGTTCGTTATCCGATATAAACGACTGAGAGGAGAATTTAGTCATTTCTGTCAGTTCCTCGATGTATTTATCAGGCTTCCAAAGTCGACGACTTTTTTCCCAGACAGTGTGGATGAATCACTCGCACCATCTCGGAAGAGGAACATGGATCGGTCCCGTTCTGCCAGAGCAATTAACTCACCTTTACAGTGGCTAATTACTCGTTTCTAACAAAGAGTATACACGTGTCTGCTCGCTTTTTGAGCGGCGATTAAATTCCTTATTAGACGAAAGGTATTTCGAGCGATTTGCTTCCATGGTCGACACTTCCAACCGATTCCATTCGAAGCTTCTCGTTTAAAGCTTCCAGCCCGAAGTTCGCCGACATGTACCAACGCCAAGAGATCATTTTAGTCGTCTGTGGAGGCGAATAAAGCATAAGGGGATCCCGTGTAATCGTATTATCGTGGTTCAGATAAGGCAGTGACGGTTTAAAATCGTCATCGAGGAGCCAACGAGTTATCGTTTCAATCGACACCTGCAAATTCCACGGTGACGACTTGCAAAGCCTAATCTTCGCGGAATCAGAGATCGTCGTCGCTGCTCCGACTCCACTTTCATTTTTTGTTCTTTTCTTCTCGGAATTCGGATTCAAGCGGGCAAACATGGCCGTGGCTCCTTTCGAGGCTCGAACCAGGGCAAAAGTGTCCTGATTTTTCGTTTTCTCTGTCACCGTGATGGATTTGATTATATGACACGCGTTCGATATCCACACGTTCCTATGCGATCTCGCTTTGTGAATCAGAAAGTACGATCATGTGGCTTGTGTGATCAATGATCCTCGTTTAGGCAAATCGATTATTCGTTTGTTAGCTGTGCTATGAGATTTCACCGATTGGCAGTCGTGCGAATTGAAAGTCGCGAAATTGTGAATTATTTCATAATGATTTAATGTATAATGTATAATGACCTCAAGCTTTACGATAGAAGTGAAGGTTTTGTATGAAAATTATACATTGGTATAGAGAATAGTATGACAGGCTGCTAACCTGTTATGTGATTCAGAAGTTTCGTGTTTGTAAAATTTACCGATTAATTTGAATATTTAGAAACGTATTGAATAATTTTAAATATCATTGAAGCATTTAAAATTCACTTGATTGATCAGTATGAGCTTGTATCGAGTATATAAAATAACGTATTTTTAATATAGTGTTATTTAGAATAAGTTATAAATATATGATACATCTGCTTGTTTGTGAGTAAAATTTTTAACGCTAGATTTACGAAACCCGTCAATTTAATGGATGGATTGTTAGAATTATACGAAGGTAACAAATTTAGTTAACTTATATTAAGACTGTTAACCCTTTGCACTCGAGAGGTGACTCAGTCACCATTTAATCAGATTCTGAAGATCGACGTTAATTAATATATCAAATTTAAAATAACCTAACGATGTGTGGAATATCGAAGAAAAATAATTCTATGTCTTAATTTGCATATGATTTCTCATTTACCATTTTAAAAATATCGTCGACTCTATGATAGAAAGTCTTTGAATTGCTATTTTTCTGTAACGAAAAAGTCGTCGAGTGCAAATGGTTGATATTGTAATTGTTTTTAAATTAAACTAATCGTTAAAAGAGGAAAAGACACGTGGTTTCAGCTATTTTTCTGTAACGAAAAAGTCGTCGAGTGCAAAGGGTTGATATTGTAATTGTTTTTAAATTAAACTAATCGTTAAAAGAGGAAAAGACACGTGGTTTCCTTTACCTGTAAATTTAACGGGTGTCGGTAAGATAGCGTCCGTAAACCCAGTGCAAATGAAGGAATTTTTGCATAGCAAGAATTGTTATTCTCCATTTATGTTTCACGAATATTCATAATAACCACATATTTATTAATGACACTCCTCAAATCTTTGACAGATTATTTTATCGATAATATTCGTTCGTCATACCAATCATATCTACATACGTGACAGTCTTTTCCGGTCTATAACGTTCTACCATTGGGACAGATAAAGAACAACGAAAATTGAACGATGATGGAATAAAAGAATTAGAATTTCATGATTTTGCTGTATCAATCGTTCCATCTTTGAATTCAACTCCTTTTAAATCATTTTTCATTTAACACTGAAATTCAATCGATCACCGAAGTTAAGACAGAAGCTAAGAAATTCTCTTTTCCTATCGTTTCGTGAAATTCCTCGAATCAAATCGTGACTCGCGATAAATCTCGTCTGTTCAAAGGTATTTAAAATTTTCCGCAAACTATAATCTTGACATTCTCATTGGAATTCGCGAACAACGGAGAAATTAATAGATAGATAAAATTAATCTAGCGCGTGCACCACTTATGCGATGATGAAACTCGTCGACATTGTTACTTTTTAAATCGTTTAACGAGTGGCACAATGTTTCATGCTAATTGCAATATCGGATTAAATCGATGCAGCTATGAAATCGACGGTCCTTCGTTCTCGAAATGTTTCGATGCTTTGGTATTATATTCTGGTCAAACTGCATTTTTCTCACGAATAATGTTGCAACAACTGTTGACGTCGAAGCAAACCAATGAACTGATATAACGTCACTGGTGGTGATAACGTTTACTTGAGCAAGAATTAGGTAATGAAATTTCGAAATAATTGGATCGAGTTTGTTCAAGTACTTTTACATGTATTCGTTGTTATTCGTCATAAATTTCCAGGTGATCTGATGTTTATTGGCCCAATATAAATGTCGGAGATTAAAAATGAAATACAGGGAATGATCAAAGTAGTCAGGTTATTTAAAATTGCAATCTTATTTTTCCCTTCGATTAAACACTTTTGTGTCATTTCTTTAATTTACCGTTTTCATTGATATTTAAAATTATCTTTATTGAGAAGGAAGCTTTATTAAAAATTTAACTTAGTTGCTTCCGAAGTTCTACAAAATTTTTAATTTACGCGTTATAAAAGTTCCATAGAAATTTTAAATTTTGCATGCCGCAGGATGAAAGTCAAGTATTTTATTTATTTAAATCGATATTATATGTATATTATATTTCTCTCTCTAACTGGGATATTGCATAATGTGGAAATAACGAGTTAATAACCTAAGCGAATTTTTTCACTAAAATTTAATTCCATCTAATAATTTTAAAATGATATTTAATAAAAAAATCATTTAAAATTCACACAAGCTTCCTATTTCCACATCTGGATATTTAAATAGATTAATAATCACCGAAGTGCCATTTTGTATTTATTCAAATCTCGAAATAAAACTAACGTAACATTCAAATTTCCCACACATTCCAAACAACTGTTATATAGGTTACTAAGCGTCGATCAATAGCGAGCCTGAGGCCCCCTTCAGAATTTCTCTCGAATTACCAAGAGACTGCTCATAGAGATCCATTCAACAGCGCTCGTTGCGTTGTTCTTCAGAAGTCGGTCATACTACGTACAGTTCGATCAATACAGTTCCCCCAGTCAGTTGTCTATAGTAACGAAGAGAGACAATCGAAACGAAAGAAAGATGGAACACAATTTGACTCCACATGTGACCTATATATACATTTAAAAAGATAGAATTATTTAAAATATTAATTCTCTACAAACTGAAACGAATCTTCAAATAAAAATAGCAAATGGAGCGAGATTATTCCACCATAACCAAGATTTCTTGTTTGAAAAAATTACTGAACAACACGCTTTGACAATCCAGGTCAATTAAACCAATTCCATTTATTTTGTTTACGAGCAGTTTAAATTTTCTTAACGTTGAAAAATTTGTATTTAGAATTAATCATAATTTTATACTTATTACTTTAGGAAGAACATTTAATGTAAATTTTTAAATTTATATTTAAAATTTCTTTTTAATTTTTAAAGAACTGGTTGAATAACCGAGACACTATACGACACGAACCTATAATACACCTGAATTTGTGCATAGTTCTAGACCAGCAAACACCGAGCAACCTTTGTCTGACATTCTCAAATGACTTCCAGAAAATTACCCACTGTTAACTCTTCGTTATCCAAGATAAAATTCAAAACACGTTTCTCGTTACTCATCATTCCGTTAATAATCCACCATGTTGGAAGCGAAGCTATATCGATGGAACTGTACCTATACAGCGACTGACGCGCCATATGGAGCTGAATGAACAGCTGTTGCGGTCTAGTCTATCGTCTCGCCCATTGGCTGGTCGACGACGTCATCATCGTCATCTGCTGAAGACACCGACGAGGGCGCCAGCCAGTCGGTCCCACGAAATTCGTATTCAAATAGCCCGACTTAATTGGCGCATGCGTGACTCTTCTCTATTGACACGAGGAAGCCAAGCCAAATTTCACTCAGTACTTTAGTGGCCGGTTCGAGAAGGACTGCCACAGGAGGATACGCGATTTTTCGGTCCTCTCTGTCTAGCGCCTACGTCCCCTTCACCTACAAACCCGTTTCACGAGTCGCGACGTCACCGGGAGGCTTTCTTCCACGACAATGTCGTACTGCACCCGACTCCTTCGGGACCAGGTATGCACGTCCTTCCTCTAATATTCGAATATCGAAATTTATCGCGTTCGAAAGGCACGATGTAACAGCCTCTGTCTCAATTTCGACCGCTCGACCCCGTTATCAAGGTCGACCGTGTCGTTTCCAAGTGGCGGGCTATCGAACATTCACTCGAATCCCGATAAAGATGCATTTCTCTCTGACTTCGACTGACCATCGTCCTCGAGAGCAATGATCTCTCCAGTGATGAGTAATTAATTAACAACAATTCGCGTCTTCGATTGTCTCGAGTTAGAACGACCGTGTTACACCTTCGCTGTGACATTCCAAGGGATTTCGCGATTTGGTCGTTGGCATAATACACGATTCTCGTCGGTGTTATCGGTTGGACGGTATTTCGGAGCGATGGCGTATTTGGAGCGTGTCTAGAGCGCTCCGTTAACAGGAAAATACGACGCAGTGATAACGATGCACGGTTGATGAGGAAGATAAACGCGAAGAACGATGTTTGCACGTTACATAATCTTATTAGATGCCTGTGCATACGTATCGAGCATATTTTCGAGAACTTGGAGGTTAGGTTTACGAGCTATTGCGCAGGACCACTGTGCATGGCGGGCAGAGATGAATAGAAAATTTTAACAAGCTTCTGTACCGTGTTGTGCGATAAGGATGTGTTTGGTTACTGATAACAGGCGATATTTATCGATGAGTGAACGGTATTTTTAGAGAGAAAAATTCAGCATTCGGCAAATTACTTTGAGCTTTGTCTCTCCTAATTCGTCTCGCAAAGACTCGAACAGCTTTCGAAATTGTATTGCCTCCGTGAATAAAAGAATTACGTAACTGTCGTTGTATATAGATGAATCTACTCGCACTATTTCGTCACATGTACATACTTATACGTAACGAATTAAGTACGTAGTAAAATACAGATATAGATAGGTTATTCTATTATCATAACTTGCTTTCTATGCCGCTTCACGAGCTTGCAGTATATTCGACTGCACCTCGATGATTAACTAAAAATAAAATCACGCTCGTTCTTATTTATGGACTTGTTTAGCTCGCGTTATCAGCAACCAGACGTTGTTATTGTCAATAAACTTTGATTATGCTAGCACACGCCTGAACGAAGTATACCCCGGAATTCGGTATAATCATTGAACTCGGAGTTTTATCGCTCTGTAAATGATTAGTCGGATTCGTATTTCTCACGGTATCTAATTTAAAGTAAACAGTGATTTCACGTTGGGCTTCTCAGGCTTCGAATTAATCGGTAAATTTCTTTTGCAGAAACTCGTTATCTTTGCGGCAGATATCCAGCAAAGATGCTTCAGCGCGAGTGCACTGAGTTTGGCCGCCAACAAGGTGGCGATGTCCAAGTTCGACTCGAACAATTACCTCCCATACGAAAAGCTGGAGGAGAAGCTTAGAGTAGTGAAGAAGAGGCAAGTATAAACGAGTCTGCTTAATCGAGCTATTTACTCTCGATTTCCCGATGAATGACAAAATGATCGAATCTTTGTAGGCTGAACCGACCTTTGACATTGTCCGAGAAAGTTTTGTACTCCCATCTCGATGAACCCGATAAACAAGAAATCGTCCGTGGGACCAGCTACCTCAGACTGCGACCAGATCGCGTGGCCATGCAGGATGCAACCGCTCAGATGGCCATGTTGCAATTTATCAGTTCTGGTACGATATAAAATAAACATAACTCAGTCCATAATTCATCGTTCCCCTTGAAAATAAGCCATTTTTAAATTATACAATTCCTCTAACCTGTCTAATAATTTCACCGTGTACTAAATCCATGAATAATTGATGTATCCATTTCCTCATCTATATTCTCATTATACGTATATCCCAAAGTTGTATCAATCGAGAAACTTTGAAACATCAGCCGATTGTAATAGAAAGCAGTACATCTTTAGAGTGTCCCTATATTTTCTTCGAAACTAACGTATCATCGTTTCTCTACAGGACTGCCAAAAGTCGCCGTGCCTTCCACTATTCACTGCGACCACTTGATCGAAGCTCAAGTCGGTGGTGAAAAAGACTTGAAACGCGCCAAGGATATCAACAAGGAAGTGTACAACTTCCTGAAGACAGCTGGTGCCAAGTATGGCGTCGGTTTCTGGAATCCTGGTTCCGGTATTATCCATCAAATCATCCTCGAGAACTACGCCTTCCCTGGTCTGCTAATGATCGGTACTGACTCGCATACACCCAATGGCGGTGGTCTGGGCTGTCTTTGCATCGGTGTGGGTGGTGCCGACGCCGTAGACGTGATGGCCAAGATACCATGGGAGTTGAAATGTCCGAAAGTCATCGGTGTGAAACTGACCGGCGCTTTGAAAGGTTGGACCAGCCCCAAGGACGTCATCCTGAAGGTTGCTGGCATCCTGACCGTGAAAGGAGGAACTGGAGCCATCGTAGAGTACTTTGGCCCTGGCGTCGACAGCATCAGCTGTACTGGAATGGCCACTATTTGCAACATGGGTGCTGAAATCGGTGCTACCACGTCTATCTTCCCGTACAACTATCGTATGCAGGATTACCTGAAAGCGACTGGCCGATCCGAGATCGCTGGAGCCGCTGATCAGCACAAGGACACCCTTTTAACTGCCGATGCTAACGCTAAATACGATCAGATCATCGAACTGGATCTCTCTACCTTGGAACCTCACGTGAACGGACCGTTTACTCCTGACCTCGCTCATCCTATCTCTAAATTGGGTGAGTGGAGCGAAAGATCGGTGCGATCAAGGTGTCACGTGTGTCTGAATGGTTGACTTGGAACTTGGAACATTTTAATTAGGGAGAGTGCTAATTGACTTGCCTCGGATCGCAATGATTTTCCAATACTTCTTCGTAGGGCATAAGATAAAGTTTTTGAAAATTCTGTATAAACGAAAAGACCTTCAACGTCTTTCTAACTTGCTTCCTAATTTCTTATACTATATTCGAATCAAGTCAATTCTTATTGTATAATATAGTTTCCTAACTATGTAATTTGTCTTCGAGGAAATATTTTTAAATGTTCCAAGACAATACAAAGTTTAGGAATGAAATATTCGGAGTTATTCAGACTACACGTGACCCTCGAAGGTGTTAAATACTTCAGAGAAGTTAAGAAAGAAGTTCATTGCTTGCAATAATTCTGACCAGGTGATACTGCCAAGAAGAACGGTTGGCCTAACGAGATCAAGGTCGGTCTGATCGGTTCCTGCACAAATAGCTCTTACGAAGACATGGGTCGATGTGCGAATATCGCTAAGCAAGCTCTGGATCATGGATTGAAGGCGAAGTCCGCGTTCAATGTCACGCCAGGATCAGAACAGATTCGCGCCACCATCGAGCGTGATGGAATCGTAAGTCTCTTTCTAGAATAGCAATTTCACGATTACATTGAAAAACTCGTGGTAGAGTAGAGGTTGCACAGTTTCGTTGACACAGTGCCAAGCATTGGTACATGTCACTTAGCAACAAGTAAAACGGCTCACGCCAATTCTTAATTTGGCTTCGTATGTATGTGTTTTGAAGGTGTAAAGGAAAAAATAGAGACTCGTCGATTCACGTGACCGGACCTCTGGGTGACAATGAAGTAGATTTAGATTACAATTTAGAGTAATTTCAAGGTGGGGGGAGAAAGTGTGTCAGAAGATTTATGACAGTGTTTAAAATGTGTTTTTAGAGGAAGTCTAAATATATTTTAAATAACAATTGTTAAATGTATAAATAGGCAAATAGGTTTAAAATAATACTTTAACGCTATGAATACTATTAAGTATATTAAGTACTGAAATATCAACATTGCGAATATTTGCAATACCAAAGTGTTTCGAAATATTAAACAAATTTCAAGGATATCATTTTTCAAGACACAGATATCAACTTTTAAAATACAAAATGTATCACAACCTCCAAGATTTCAAAAATATTACGGAAATGTGAAAATTTGAAAACTAGTGCAATTGTTGCAAGCTTTGCTAACGTTGAAAATTTCCATGATACTAGAAATACCTAAAATTGCCAAGAAACTTAATATCCTATTTCTCTAGGCGTCGATTTTGAGAAATTTCGGAGGTACCGTTTTGGCCAACGCCTGCGGTCCTTGCATCGGCCAATGGGACCGTAAAGACATCAAGAAGGGAGACAAGAACACGATCGTTACCTCGTACAACCGTAATTTCACCGGAAGAAACGATGCCAATCCCGCGACACACGCTTTCGTCACCAGTCCTGAACTCGTCACTGCCCTTTCAATCGCTGGTCGATTAGACTTTAACCCGGTTACCGATAAACTCAAGGGCAAGGACGGAAAGGAATTCCTTCTGAAAGATCCTTACGGTAAGCATAATTCATCCGTGTCTCGCGGATTAACACGTTCATGCTAATATCGTATCATTAAAATGGTCGAGGAGATAATCGAGATGGTATCTAGTTTGCAATTATGCATGAATCACGATGGTATTTGTTTTATAACCAGACATCTGTATACGAGTTATCAGATTCAGCACTGGCTCTTCGTGATGTTAAAGATAATGCAGTGGTCTAGACAGAGTACGAAATTAGATACCTGTCTGTGAAATACTCGGCGTGGACTTTCGTCTTGGAAATTGATTAATTTATTTGAAGGCATCGTGGTTAATTATTCAATCATGCGAGATTATTTTATACTGAGATACCGAAAGTGGCCATGAGACTATCATCCGTCTAGTTTTTTCCTAAAACGAACAAAGTTCTTCCGTATCTTTTTCTCAGACGTTTAGCCAGACGATAACTGCTGTTTACGAGGAAAAATCGGATGTAGTGAATTTGTGAAATATTTCGTAATGGCAAACTTTGAACGCTACGTTTCATTCATGCAACGTGTGTCTTCGTAATTCTTCTCCACTGACAATCGTCTTTTTAAAATTCTTACCCTTCGAGTATTTAAACAATGTTAGGATCAAATTTAAATAACGCGAGACTCGATTTAAGTAACAGTGTTTCAGGCTACGAATTGGTGACGCTAATTAGCGACATAGCGTTTCGAAATATTGAAAAGCTATTTTATTCCAGGCGATGAGCTTCCAAATCGTGGATTCGACCCTGGCATGGACACATACGATGCACCCCCAGCCGATGGCAGCAAGGTGAAGGTCGACGTGAGTCCATCGAGCGAAAGATTGCAATTACTAGAACCATTCGACAAATGGGACGGTAAAGATCTCACGGACTTGACCGTCTTAATCAAAGTCAAAGGAAAATGTACCACAGATCACATCTCGGCTGCTGGTCCATGGCTGAAATATCGTGGCCACTTGGACAACATCTCGAACAACATGTTCATTGGGTAAATTATCATGACCTATATAGTTTGTTCCAATTTAATTCCCACTTAACCCGAATCTCCCAGACTGGCCCTAAAGTTAATCTAATCGGATAGAGTTATATGTATCTCCGTGAATTTCGCAGAGCCGTGAATTCCGAAAATGGCGAGATGAACAACGTGAAGAATCAGCTCACAGGCGAATGGGGTAAAGTGCCGGACGTTGCCAGACATTACAAAAAGAACGGAGTTAAATGGGTAGCCGTCGGTGACGAGAACTACGGTGAAGGTTCGTCTCGGGAACACGCAGCCCTGGAACCGAGACATCTTGGTGGTCGTGCCATTATCGTGAAGAGCTTTGCCCGTATCCACGAGACGAATTTGAAGAAACAAGGACTGCTGCCTTTGACCTTTGCCAATCCTGGCGATTACGATAAGATTCAGCCTACTGATAAGATCAGCCTTCTGGGATTGAAGGATCTGTCGCCTGGAAAGGTACCTCTTCATCGATGATTTAATTAATTACTTTCAATCTACGAGGTTTCTTGGAATATTAATTCTCTGTAACACTTAATAGAAATTGCGTATGGTTGTATCTATATATTGTAACGATAGTATTATCAAATAAGTCGTGGTAATTAGTTTTAGATTCTTGTTCTGTCATTACTGACATCGTGCAACTGCCATTGGCAAAATTAACGTTAGCTTTTAGTAAGATGGAAGTATAATTATATATATCTACTTGTCTATTGTTGCACTATTTTAATGACTGGTCAACGGATACAGTGATAAATTTTATTTTAATTTTTATTTTGTCCAAATTCGTTATTGTAGTTTATTACTATCTCATTTTATTCGTTCTACGACAATTTCTTTATCAGTTACAGAGAATTAAAGATCGCCTTAGGTGTATCTAAAGACTCAGGCTTATTTTTCGGTTGCTGAATATTCTTTCTTTTCTCCTTGACTATTAATTGACCGTCACTAGATCACTATGACACGTGATGGAACATACTTCGAGAGAATCTATCAGCCAGATATAGTTGACCAAAAATGTCACTAAGAATATTAGTTACCGATATAGCCATCTATACATTCCATTTAAGTGTTCAAGGACATGAAGCAACCCTTAGTTCCTAAATAACAATCTTTAATTCTGTCTCTACCCTTTCTAGAATAACTGAACTTGGCCAGCAACCAAGATAGAAAGAAATTCTAGCAGCCTAATGTATCTTTTACATCTGATCCATTACTTAATTTATTTTCCCTTAAGAATTGGACGACTTAAAGACACTTACACGCTATACTACTTAGCTCTACGTCTATCGTTTCCACATCGAGGGATACCTGCAGTTTTATTTTCAATAATTTCCCAACCAATTTCCACCTTGGAGGAACACAGATCTATTCACCTTTATTCCCCAGACCACAGGATTTATTGTGTATTCTCAGCGTCCAAATCCATTTACATTTTTCCCAATACCATCGTCCGAAGAGTGCAAAACCTGACGTTCTGTTTCTACTTGCAGCCCGTACAAGCACAGATCAAGCACACAGATGGCAAAGTGGACAACATCTCCCTGAACCACACCATGAACGAACAGCAAATCTCGTGGTTCAAGGCTGGCTCTGCTCTGAACCGCATGAAGGAGATCTCCAGCGGCCAGTAAACTCGTTTGACCATCGAGCAAACGCGCGAAACCGTAATCGTTTTCACAGAACGTGCACGATCTCGTAGTTAGTTGTGTGTGTATCGATAGCGAGACACGGACGAACAGCAGTTCGGTATAACACACTAATCTTCCAGATAGATTTGCGTAATATAATCGCGACGGTCAGGGTGCCATAAGTTACTTAAGCGGAAAGCGAGATAGAAAATTTCGGAGGAGAGACAGGGAATGCGTACACCTGCACATGTCCGTCGCGACAATACCTCGAGATCATCTGTATACAAATCGTTGTTGACGGAAATGTTTGTTACAAGCAGTGATGGACTGAGACAGGGTGAAAGCCGAGAAATACTCTAGCCAAGTTTCTAGTACGAAGTCTAGAAGATTTTAAGTCTTAACTTTAGAAGAGGATCGAATCGTTCTCGTACATTGTTCCACGCTCCGTATCTCGACGGAAATCACGCGTCGAGCCTTTGCCCCTGGTTTTCTCGTACAAAGTACGAGAGGAAAGTTCCATGCGTCGATGGGACGACGGTGCAACCCGCGCGTGCCAACGTGTTCATTTTTAAATCGTGTACAGCCCGACGACGGCACGTCGAGATTGCATGCTCCTGTCGACCCAGAGCTTCGATCGTGCTCAATGGAATCTTCTGTACATACTATATATTATTCGCAATGTAGGACACACCGTGATTATACCGTTTTCTAGACGCGACTGATTTGATCAGATGTAAGATTCGCTGTTGATTCACTTGCACGAGAAAGAAATAAATGACTGAACAGCGAGCTGTGTGGTTGTTTCGTTCATTTAATTACTTCTCGATTCGTTTCCTATTCCATTTATCCAATGAGATTTTCACGTTTCTCGTTTTCCATACAAATTTTGTTTTATTTATTCTTCGTGGGATGAAATGATTTATTCTTTATAATTGGATAGAGAAGATATATTTATAATTGGAAATATTTCTCATTTTTGTTCTCGATAGATGAAAATGATTGACAAGCGTGTTTGATTTCTACGATCAAATTTTGTCATTTTTGAAAATTATAATCGAGTATTCTATACCACGTGTCGATAAAGAAGAGATCTATATTTTTATTTCTCATAGATGTAGAGAAATATCATTGAGATTGAAAAAGAATCGATAAGATTTTTAATTAATACTGTATTTTAATTCTGCAGAAGTATCTTAGGAAGATTGTTTATTTAATTTTTAAATCGTTAGAAAATATTTGATAAAATAAACGAATTCAAATTTGAGGGACGATTCACAATTTTCATCGATTACGAAACAATTTCACTTGGTATTTCTATTTTCAAACATAGAATAAATTTTAGATAACCCCTATAAGGTAATTATTAAAGCGTCTATAAGATTTCTACGAATCGGAGCCTTTGCCAAATTCATCTAACCTCGAAACTAGCGTGAACCAATATTCCTTCTAGTTTAACACGAATTAGGGTATTAAATATGATATGAAAGCACTTACGTCTTCTAAGAAGGGTCAAAATAGATGCACGTCCAAAAAGAACCATGTCGCAATCGTTGAAGAAATAGTTCAATAGAAACGAATGATTTATGATGTCACAGATCGTAATGACGATCGATCGACAATCGTCAGGTGTTCAAGCATGCGCCGTAATTGCCGTAAATTCTCACGTACTTGAAATCACACAGGCCTGCGTTATACTTGTGTCAGGTATTTGGACGTTAATAAAATCTGAATTTCTAAACACGTGTGAGTTTATCAGAAAAGAATGTATTTAAATATTCACAAAATACTTATTAGTAATAAGAATATTTATATATGATAATATTTATATTAAATATTTTATATTAAATATTATATTTAATATTTATATACGATAACGATGCAAATATTAAATAGATATTATTCAAGAACATTTCAAAAAATATTTAGTTAAAATTATTATAAAAATACAAAATATTAATCTTACAAGATATATATTATAATTTATAATTTTACAGAAACTTATTACATTTCTTTCATAAAACTAAAGTAACGAATCTTTTTATCACTGTATTTAATTAAACAGCATTTTCCTTGAACACTTTTAACAACTATTTTCTCGATATTAACGAATTCCAAAATTTCAATTTTAATCATAAAACTACGATCGAACAATTATATCGATCCTGGCACGTTATTCCTACATTTTCGACGATATTAAATTACATTTATTCGGTGGAACAAGCTCACAGCTCATGGCTGTAATTAACCCTCCGCCCCTGTTTTGTCGCGAATTACGTCGGCCTTTAATTCTTCCAAATATTTAATATCGCGTCAAAACGTCGTTTGGTGATCGTGTTGGCAGGCTGTTACGGATATTAGGCAACATAACCGACGCTTCTGAGGTTCCAAAACAGCTCTTCCACCTATCGCGTCTTTTGTCCCTTAAAACCGACCACATGTCACGGAAAAACGTGGCGCATGCCTCGTTACCACGACAACCGTGTAACCGTACACAAAGCGTACACTGTCGTTCATCGCAAGTAAGCCTACTCTGTCGTCAGTCTCTTTTCGTTCAAAGGATCCCGTTGTTAGATCGATTGAAAATTAAAAGCATTCCTCCGAGCGACTAAACGTCTTCGAAAGTTCGATAAGATACCCTGGACTCGGAATTATTTCCACTTTCCACGTGACAACGCGATGTCGGTCGAGGGTGAGTTCTTCCTCTCGATCAACGGATCCATCGAGCACGCCGAGTTTTACGATGCCGACAACGTCTACTGCAAATACGGATATCACTTCGGCCCCGAATGGAGCGTAGTTGCCGTGAGTCCATTTTGTTTAGCGATCTGACAAGCCGTCACATCGAGTCGACATGGTTTTTCATCGATCTCGAAGAGAGATTTCAACGTTCGATAGTCTGCTGACTTTGTGAAATCCTGTTAGGGTATCGAGGAGGGTCTGACACAGATGTGCAAGTGCAGCAGCGACCCGAGAAATCTGGCAGTCTGGAATTTCCCGCTGGAAGTCACGTTCAAAAGTACCAATCCACATGGATGTGAGTAGAACTGGTATTTCTTGGTTATTGCTACGTATTTCTTGGGATATCTCTCGGCCTTAATTTTCGACAATCGTTTCGGAATTTCTTGATCCAGGCGGTGGTCGAGGAAATAAAATTAAAATCGAAGCTCCTTCTTGAACATGGAGAGCGAAAAGTTGAGGTTGTTATCGGGGATTTGTAGAATTTATATAATTATAGAAATTCATTGGATTCTCGATTTGTATTAAACAGCACATTTTAACACGAGTTAAGATAAGATAGAGGATATCTGAATTAAATTTTATTTTATTCAGTTACGTTAATGGTAAGTGTGTTTTATAAATTATTAATGAACGTGGTTTATATAAGATATTACGAAATCGCTAAATAACTATGAAGTATCATCCAAAACGTGAAATCTTATCAACCTCCTGTATCAACTGGTGTTTTAGGGCCCCAGTTAATAATGTCTGTTTACGGCTTGGACATCTTCGGCCACGACGTCATCAGAGGATATGGAGTGTGCCATTTACCGCTGAAAACAGGTCAACACGAGAAAAGGTATTAAATTATAACTAAACAGCTTCTCGTAATTACGATATTTTTCATCCCTGTGCCCCGTTGATCAATCCACACCGATCTCGAATCTGTAAATAAATTTTTGATACAGCATAAATACACAAATAAATCAGAGAATTTTAATAACCCGAATAAACCGGGATTACAAAATCGAATGGAAACGTTATTCCCGATAATCAATTACAAGTTTCACAAATCGGTATTTCTGAAATATTTGTGACATTCAAGCCAGGGGGAAAATATACATATTCTATCCTACAAACCAAATAGAAGCACAGTATTGGTAATACGATATTGGTTCACACCATATCGAGTTTTGAAACCTCTCTTCTATAAAAAAAACGGGCAAACGAAAGAAAGGAAAAACGAAAAACGTGACTTATCACGTTTCCACGGTTTTCAGGCATAAAAATGAATCCCCCACGAGCAACTGGAAAACTATTCGGACCTCAAATACAAATATCGCATATTTCATCCTCTAAATCACAAAATAAAAAAGAAAAAGAAATAAATAAAATGAAAATTTTGCTCGCGTAGACACTTGGTTCAACTTATTTTTACAATTGCCACGCGGTATAATGATCTCGATAAATTTGCTTTATGTCAGATTTAATTATTCTACCGATCGTTGTTTAAGGACGATTGTTGTAACATCGGTGAAATTTTGCAGGCCATAAAAATGAATCCTTCACGAGCAACTGGAAAACTATTCGGACCTCAAATACAAATATCGCATATTTCATCCTCTAAATCACAAAATAAAAAAGAAAAAGAAATAAATAAAATGAAAATTTTGCTCGCGTAGACACTTGGTTCAACTTATTTTTACAATTGCCACGCGGTATAATGATCTCGATAAATTTGCTTTATGTCAGATTTAATTATTTAACCGATTGTTGGTTGATAGATTGTTGTAATATCGGTGAAATTTTACAGGGTATCAGTGTACGTGCCGGAGTCCTCCTCAGTGTTGCAGCGATTTGCGAGCTGGTTAACCGGAAGGAGACCGGAACTGATTGATCCGACGATATTGGCTACCGGTGGCGGAAGGGAACGTAAGGCAATATTTTGAATCATTTCACGTTGCCTGGTGACGACGGATATCCGCGCTGACATTAAATTAATTGGGCTTAGAATCCAACCTATCAAGGACAGTCGATACGTCGACTGTATTAACGCGAGCGTCTGATGCTCGCGGACAGGAAGGAATTAAACCATCTAGATCGTATCGAATCCTCTGACGCGAGTCAATCGATACATCCAACATGACAGATAACATTTGCCTCGAGCTGGATCACTGTTTTCCCTCGTTTCTCGCCAACTCAGAGATGGCTAAGCACTTTCACGAGTTTTTATTCCGATGAATTTTCGCTCGGTCGTCTCTTTATTCTCAGACAGGAAGTCAGTGTATTTGTGGCGATAGAAATGATCGATCTTTCGCGTATTTTATTTCATTTTATTTTTCTGCGCCGCGTGATCGATGTGAATTTAATTATCCAGGTTGTAGTATCAGGGGAAAAGAAATTTTTTAAAAATTGTTAATCTTTTACCTCGACGTCTGTTGGAATTGTTTGGGCACCCTTAATCACTCGTGGAATAATTTTGAGGTTAGGGAATTAAATACCGTATTCCTGAATAATTTTGAGGTTAGGGAATTAGGTTCGAACTTTTTAATATGATGCGAAGGTTAGGTGGATTTTAAGCGTAAATCAAAATGTAGATAAATATACCGAAATAGTGTACAATTTAAAGTAACTTTATTTCCACAACACAGTATGACTGGACAACTCAAAATGATCGTTACTCTCGGATGCAATCAACTACTACCCCGCGGACATCTTCCGCACAATATACAACACGATTCGCGTAACTGGAACAAGTTATAACTACTTCCCTATAGCAATTAGAAACAAATGATGCAGACAAGGGACCAGAAAAAAGTAGATCAGACTAGACAACATTTTCAGCACCTTATCTTTTCCCCGAATTCAACGAGTTCTAAAGTAGATCGATGGTATTTCATTTTTAAACTATCACGCGTACGGAGTGGTTAATTTTCCCTTAACGCGAACGAGGATCTACTATGGCGAAATACCATTATAACCAATCTTTACAGACACGCCAAAGCCTCGGTCCAAGCCTTGAAACAACCCAGCAACTCCCGGAACCCAAAACCTCGAGTGTCCATACACTCTTCTAGCCTCGAACTCTCGATCCCTCCTCTCTAACCCTCGATCCACCTCACTCGCTGTAAACTCTTGCACCAATTTCCCATTTGCTCCAACAGCATACAGAAATGTATTAACGAGAGCCTTTGAGAAAATCCAATTCGATCAGCAATCAGGTTAACACTGTTGCAATACGTATTAACGTGAGCCAAGACACTATGCTGCTGCTCAAAGAGGGCCTATAATAGAAATAGGTTACAGTGTAATCTTTGAATTCCAGAAGCTTTCATCTAAACCTTCGCTGATATGGAAGCTTTAAAAATTTTCGAAATGCGGATCAGTCGAAGTTCAAAGTGCAGAGACGATACGAGAGAATTAAAGAAAGGTTGGAAATCCCAGAACCATAGTCCGAGGAGTCGATACAGATTATTTAAACGCAGGCTCTAGCTTCAGAGATAGGAGAGCCACCTCGAACGACCTGGACCTGTAAAAATTTTACGACCACGTGCAAGCATTTATAACGGCGTGGAATAAAGTGGTTCGGACGAAGCACTTACCACGAGAAGCACGGTTTATTTCCCGCGATACTCAGACACCTTGGCTGAGGGCTATGTGCACCTGATGTTTCGCTGGCCTGCGTCAAGGGCTGCAGCTAGTAATAACTTTCTTTGTAATTGCAGTCACGCGCATGAGGGTGGAGGGTATTGTTACCGTAACGTTCAACGCCGTGCTGAAAGATTTCTTCAAGTTGGGCTACAACAATGGCGAACAACGGAACAAGTAATGAGATTTGCCACGATGGCGCGACCGTCACGGTTACAACATTTTTCTACCCGAACCAACCCGTTTTTCGCTTGTCAGAGGGCCGACGGAGACCGAGAGGAACGAGATGAAGTAGCGAGACTCGAGGGATTTGCGAAAATTTACATTGTTAACGACGTCGTGCTTGTTACCCTGTTAGTCCGGTAATTAAGACGGTAACCGGGAAATTAATTACCGAACGGCGATGCGGTGACTTTAGTGTACCATTCCGTGTGTAAAGGGGTTCACGTGGGTATGCTGTGTCGAAGAGTGTCGGGTGTATCGCTGTCGAGGCGTGTATAATGTCCGCTGTGAAATTTAATTGGCGAGTAATTTGTCGTCTGGCAAAGACGTGTTAACAGGTGTGTATCTGGGCTCCTCTTGCAAGAGACTCGAGTTTAAGATGGCTGAAACTTGCGCCAGAGTCGGAAGTAAGAATTTAGGAAGGGATTCCTTAATTCTTTCGCAATGGAGGAATACGTGCGTGTTATTTCTGGAAGCTGAAGACACAAAGAGCGTGAAAATTGAGGAAGGGCACAGACAAGAGGCAAACTTAGGGAAGTTTGGATGCCTAGTCACTCTGGTTAACACGTTGAATGCCATTGGGGTCACCGGTGACCAGCGCGCTTAGATTGATAGAAATATGTATAATTTAAACAAATGTCAATATTTAGGAATTTTTATTATTACCATCGTTAATTCAATGGTGACTCCCGTCGCAATTAACATGTCAAATATGGTTGTACATTGTAACTTATCTATCGCAGATAATATTTCAACATTATATGTATCACATAATAGAAAATTCATCGTGGCACCATGGGCAATGCCTATGAAACGTGTTAATACTAAAATTATAGATCTATACATTTACTACATGCTATACTTTTATACATTTATAATACATTTGCTATATGCTATACCATACTTTACTATATGCCTAACGCATAACACGAGTAAGCGTTTAGGCAGCCTTAAGACAATTTTTCATTTAACTCACTAGCGCCACCACGGTCCATATCTCCAAAATCGGTGAATTATACGTTATTGTAGCGACCAGGGTATAACGAGATTATAGAAAAATCTACGATATTCTACACTGTGTAATGATCCCACTCAAAGTAACGTTCCTTTCGTCTATCTTTCAATATTTTTCAATATCTTTCTCGTCTATATTTCGATATCTCGGACTGTCTTTACTTTTCATTTATTACTGACGAAATGCTGTAGCATCGTAATGCTTAAGTCGATATCATTACAGATCCTTAAAATTCTTTTTCTACGATTTCAATCGCTAAATTGCCAAAGATTTCCAATGAATACGTCGTTGAATTAATTTAACCCCATTGAACGTTGACAACTCTACTCTCTGAATTTCGGTGGAGGACACCCCTTTTTATAGTAAACAGCCGATTGTTATTTCTTGTTACTTGGTCGAATACAGGGTGGATATAAAAATCTCGTGAGAATATTAATTTTTAGTAAATGGAAGTTAATTGTTTGCTTTGAGTATACGGTATAGTTAAGTTTGCATAGAGACGCGTTTCCTCCTGACAGTGGCAGTATTGCTTATTCTTCCGGAGGTAGAGATGCCTGGCGACAATGCATCGTTTCGTATCTTCTTCCCGATTCAACAGGTTTTGGCGAGAAATGAAGTTACTCTCGACACTCGCGTGTTACAGTTATCCTTCCTGTGCCTTCTTCTATTTTAAATTAAGAACTTCGTAGAAGAAAACGTTATACTAAAATCACACCAAGCTGCAGAATTAAAGGGAAACTCTGAAATTGATTTAGCAGTAAGATCGATTTTTCAAAGTGTCTAAAATGTTAATAAAAATATTGAAGTACAGACGAAAAGAACGTTTGAGTGGGATCATTACAATGTAGAATATCGTAGGTTATATTCTGCCTTCAGCTTCCACAAATAACGTGTACGTATTCCTCCTTTTTATCGAAGGAATATCGGGTTTATGCGAATGGTTTGAGGCGTCGAAAACGAGCAGAACGAATTGCACAGAATGAAACGAACATCAAACACGGAAACTGATTAAACGCGAGAAGATAATATTGGAGTAACGTAATTTTAACACGCTGAAAACACGCTTCTAATCGTCTCTTTCATATTCGAGGGAATTCTTCAAAGTCTCTCGATTCAGAATTCTCTCGGTGTCGCCGAGGGTCCTATTTTTATGTCCTTTGCCGAGCTTGATGACGTGCTTCTACCAATTGTGATATAATTTAACCAATTAGCGGTTTGCTCTTTCGAAAATTACGCCACCTTGCCGATTTGCGATTCGTCTCCTGCGAGAATTATGATTTCGTCCACCTGTGTTTCGCCCCCTTTCTCATCCTCCCTTATAGGATACGTAATTCAACCTGTTTCGAATCGTAAGGGTAGCCTTTCATAACAGTCTTGGTTGATTTTCTATTTATTTTCTAAAATAGAATCCTAAATCTTCATCAACAGATTTGCGATTTATTTTTATAAAATAAAATTCTGTATCAGCATTGACCGATTTGCGATTTGTCTCCTGTGAGGATTATGATTTCGTCGACCTGCGTTTCGCCCCCTCACCTATCCTCCCTTAAAGATCGTGCAATTTAGCTTGCTTCGAATTTTAAGGGTAGCTTTTCGTAACAGTGTCGGTTGATTTTCTATTTATTTTCTAAAATGGTATCCTAAATCATTATCGAACTATTTGCGATTTATTTTTGTAAAATAAAATTCCGTATCGGCATTGGCCAATTTGCGATTTCTTTTTCTAAAAATAACATCCTGCGATATTTTATAAATAAAATAAAATAAAGTATCATAAAGTGATACTGCTTCGAGTATTTCTCTCCGATACAAATTTACAAATACATATGTTCCACGATTTATCCCCATCAAAACACGCGTTCCATTTTTGATTTTTCATTAACGGGATGTATACTCGTTTCTGTCGACAGAGGAACGAATAAATCTCCGCTAAACGTCGAATGGTAAGTGGAAGCATAAAATACGAAACAAACAAGCAATCCTTCCTATATTTCCGATATTTCCGACAAATTCTTTAATTGCACAAACAAAGCTATAACGCTTCGATCATTTCTCCTCGATTCGTTCGCCGATACCACCGCGTTTATCTCGACGAATGTTTCTTTAATTCCCGCCCGTTTGCTTGGAACGTGGAAAAGAAACGAACCGGGTAGTGAACGATGGAATTGTTGATAAAATTTCCGGGTTGTTCCGTTCGTCTCTCGATCAGTGGAACAAACGAGATTTTCCTCAGACCGGGGGGAAACGTTGAAGCGCGACGCTCGCGAGGATTCCACGCAAAATCAGACGCGTTTGTCGTGTTTATCGCCTCTAAAACGAGCGCAACAATCTTAATGAGAAAGCGTGGCAGAGTGGGCAGAGTCGAGGGAAGAAAATGCCACTGGTTAAAATATAAATTAACGAGGAACGGTTGAAGGAAGTCTTGATCTCTCTGGATTAAGTCGCGCAATTATCGCAGCGCCCGAGGAAGAAACAAGCAGGCAAAGCAATCCCGACCGGGGATGATTTAAAAAGTTTGAAATTAAGCAGCTGTCACGTCCATGGTACCTTCATTCTCGCGTATTAAAAACATTCGACCAGACGGCTACTTCTTCGTGGATAACGCGATGACGTTTCAGCCAGCTCTCCCTGGCTTATGCTCAATTTTCCAGACGATGATTACGGCGAGAAAATTAGAGATAAACGGAATTGGAAGATGTATTTTTGCAAAGGTGTAAAACCATTTTCCTTTGAATATCTGTCTTCTCTTTTTCGTCTTGCAAGCTGTGTTGAAAGTCATCTGAAATCTTCGAGAGCTGAAAGGTAATCAGGAACTTGTATATTTCTCAAACACATTTGTCATAAATTATGCTTGTTTAAAAACAATTTTATATAATAATTCAAAAGAAAAAGCTGGACCGTAATTTCACCTATGATAAACAAATTATTTGAGACAAATCTTTTGAAAATATTTTAAATAAATTTAGCGGAATTGTAAGACTCTCGTCAAATGTCAATAAAGAAAGTGTCAAGAAATATCAATAATATCGAGATCAAACAAATTATCAGTACAAAAATTGTTTAAAAATATTTCAAACAAATTTACCGATTCGTGAAATTGGTTAATCTCGAAAGAAATTATAATATTCACCCCACCAAGTGTCAATGAAGCGAAACGCATGATGAACTTACATCTATCATGATTAGCTTATCATGACGTTGATACCACATTTCATTCATTACACGCATACTCGTTTTTCATAGCAACTTTAATTCGCTCGCATTGACATTCCTTGTATACTCACCTCATTCATACTTTCTTACAAACATCACACACTTTCACATCGATATATATTAAAATTTATGTCAACCATTACCACACTAGAATCCCTCAAAAATAAAAATAAAACCTCGTCGAATATCACCGCATAATTACTTTGAAATCGACGTAACGTTAATTTAAATAAAATTCGTCCTAAGATGTCGAAGTAGTGATAAAATACGTGATTTACATAAATAAAACACTGCCCTGCGTTACTTTGTTGTTCAAATTCCAATAATAATAAACGATCCAAATAAAACAGTTGTACACTTCACACACACATCCAGGTATGTCCAACCCTCACAGAGATTTAGAAATGACTATAGACCTCAGACATCCCTCTTCATCCCCAAAAACGAAATTACGTGGATGGTTTATCGACGATTATCGACTCTTCTTCTTCCACTTTGAATCCTTTGTGTCTCAATAGAGACCTGGACGGTCATCCAGGTCTCTAACTCCGAAATTCGGTTTCATCGTCGGCTTGTCGGCATGCAGAGTTTACGCAAGAGATAACCGCCTATTGAATGAAACGCCCACTTAACAAAGGAGCTTAATCTGCCGCTAATCCAGCGATTGGGAGAGGTCTGCCAGCGTGGACGAATTAATTCCACGATCCGAAGTCGCATTCGCGACACGCGCC